TCCCCCCCTCCCCTCCCCCCTCCCCTCCCCGCTAGGCCTCCAGGGGGACGGGGTCCACGTGGCCGCCGCCATAGAGGGTCTGACAGAGGCTGGAGAAGTCGCGCAGGCCCCTCGTGGGCAGCCTCGGATTTGTGGAAGGAGTAGCAGCTGCGGGTTCCTTGGCGCAGGCTCGATCGCAGCACCCCCCCCGCGACTCCGCAAGGAGCTCCGAGGGATTCGCCGGCCGCGCCCGCCAGGGCCCCAGGGCGGAGCCGCTCCAGGACCCCTCCCGCGGAGCGGAGCTCCCGTTGTTCCATCGTCGACGAAGTCCCCCCCGGAGGTCGGCAGCGGGCCTTGCGATGCGATGCTTGCTCTCTACCTCTGAGGTTCGCGGGGCCTGCGACGCCAGAGCCACGCAGGGCGTGGCCGTTGGTTTCGAGAAGAAGGTCAGCTGCACCTCGGACTCAATGATAGAATGCGCCAACGGCCTCGACCACCAGACCGCGGATCCGGGGCGGAACACGCTGTTCGGGCGTCTCAGGCGTGGGGGGCCGTGTCGGAGCGAAAACGAACCAGGGGGGGGGGGCGACGAGGGGCGGAGCGCCGCCTGCCAAGGTCTCCTGAGCCTGAGTTGCTGCTGCCGTCGTTGAGGGCGGACGCCGCCCCCAGCAGCAGCCATTTGCAGCCTCGTGTGGAAGCGTCCTCGTTCCGGGAGCGCCGTCGCAATCTGAGCGCGACTTTGAGCGGCTCAGTGGCCGTGCCCTGTCTCGTTTCCTTGGCCACTCCCGGGGCCGCAGTTCCGCGGGCAGCGGCGCTGTTCGACTACGGCCAGGTTCCCATCAGTGGGCAGGCCTCTGACGGCCGCCTTGCTTGCCCGCGCGCTACGCCGCAGGCGCTGGCGAGGGCCGGCCTGCCAAAGTGGCCGGTTTGCGCGCGGGTCGTCCACGGCGGCCAGGGCCAGCGTCGCGCTGGCAGCGGGCGGCTGCTCATGGTCATTGAGGGTCACCAGAAGGCTATATCGTGGAGGACCGCGTCGCCCAGAAAAGACGCCTTGGCCAACATCGGACGCTCCGAGGGGCTACACATTTTCGTCGGGAGGGACTGCCACCAGCTCGCAGCCGAGGCGGGCATCTGGCTAGATCGGCGCGAGTTGTTCTATTGGCTTCGGCGCGCGTGCGGGCAAGCGAAGCAGCTGATGATCTCAGTCGGTTTTCCGCCCGCCGTGCTCAGCAGGGTGGCGCGCGCGGCCGCCGCGCTCTCTTCCGGGGGTCGCGACCATCGCAACCTGGCGCCCTAGGGCGCTTCTTTGGGGGAATTCCCGCCGTGCAAGGCCGACGCGTTCGACGAGTGTGTGAGGCCGCGCGACGCGAAGCCCGAGCTGCGGCCCTGCGCCCCCCGACAACCCCCCAGTGGAAGAGGCAGGCGGAGGGCGTGACCCGCTTCTTCGGGCTGATCTACACAAACCCCAGGGAGGAGAAGGCGAGGGTGGGGGCCCTGGGAGGCTGCCGCCCCAGGGTGGGGGACGGGCCGCCCGCTGGGTCGACCGAGGAGCAGACGGGGCCCGCGCGCTGGTCGTGCGCAGTCTGACCCCCGAAGTCCACCTGACTGAGCTGGAAAGGCTCCTGGTGCAGTGCGGCGAGGTGGCGTGCATCTGCATGCTGTTGGATATGGCGGGGCGGAAACTTCGGCGGGCGCCGTGCGCGTTCCAGGCAACGAGCGGGGCGGAGTCGGCCGTTAGGCGTGCGTCCTTGCGTGGGGAAGGGGGCTGGGCCGCTGAGGCTCACTGCCGCCGCCCCGTCACGCTGGGACGGGCGGGCGGCGAGCGCGATCGCCGTAGTGGGAAGGGCGAGGGGGCGAAGGCTCAGCAGTGCCCGCGATGCTCGCGAGTCGTGCGCTGGAGCACCGGCGAGTGGAGAGTGCGCCGACCGCGGGTGGAGCTGCTTGGGAAAGCATTGTGCGTGGGGTCCGCGCCTGCTGCAGGGTACGTGCGGTGGCGTTGCAAGCGGTACCACCGCGACATCTGCGAGAGGTGCTACCATCTCCGCCTGTGCGGGGAGCTGGTGGAGACTCTGGGCCGCCGTCGGAAAGCGGGGGGCCCGACGGGTGGAGGAGGAGGAGGAGGAGGAGGAGGAGGAGGAGGAGGAGGAGGAGGAGGAGGAGGAGGAGGAGGAGGAGGAGGGAAGAGGGGGGAAGGAGAGGAGGAGGAGGAGGCGGGAGGAGGAGGCGAGGCGGAGGCGGAGGCGGAGGAGGCGGAGGCGGAGGCGGAGGAGGAGGCGGAGGGGAGGAGGAGGAGGAGGAGGAGGAGGAGGAGGAGGAGAGAGGAGGAGGAGGAGGAGGAGGAGGAGGAGGAGGAGGAGGAGGAGGAGGAGGAGGAGGAGGAGGAGGAGGAGGAAGTGGAGGAGGAGGGGGAAGAAGAAGCATATTGATAATAATACGAATGACATCAATACTAATAGTATTGAGAACAATGACACGAATAATCATAATGATACGGCTTGTAGTACTAATAATAATATCATTA